GTCGTCCCAGCCGTCTTATCTGGAATGGAGGAATGGTAAAAATAGAAATAAATGGAGATGGAAAAATGTCAATTTAAGAACTCCGAGGAGCGGGAAAAGACGGCGGAGCCAGTAAAAACTGTAAAAACCCTAATAGAAGGTCCCCTAACTTTGAGCCAGTTTTTCTTATTTCCTGTTAAAGATATATAAAAGTTGTCAACTGGTAAAATATTGGGTATATTATTATAAATATTTCATCAGTTGACAAAATTTTGATTTCTTTGACGTGAATCGAGATAATTGACCCGGGGATCCAGCGGGATTACTTTAAGTGGTTCCAGACACGAATCCAACCAAGGGATCCCGCTGCGATTAGTACGTTTTGTCTGCTTTCGGCAACCTTCTTCTAGACTTTCAACTAATACTAAAGACCTTGATATTTTTCGGAACATTTTCTGCTTTTTTCCCGAAAATCTCTATCCATCATCAACTATGCTACTTTGACCCGTTAGCATCTATCTTTCTCTCACTCTTTCTGTTTTTTTTTCTCATTTCTATCCGTTTGAACTCGTGAGCCTCAAGCATCGGGAATGACGACGGCAAAACGACACATTCAGATATTCAGAGCAGCACGAAATGTGTGAAAGAGAAGAGTTTCAATGTGTCTAGTCAATCATAGAGCTCCTGGGAGCTGGAACCAAATAGAAGAGAAGGGAGAAAACGAGAGAAACCAGACGGTGGTGGTGGTGGTGGTTTTTTCTGCAGGCAGTGTGCGAGTCCTGCGTCTAGACGCTTGTCTATCTTTTTCACATTTTTCAACCCATCCACGCGAGGCGCCGGGCGCCCTTCTTCTTCTTCTCTGCAGAAACATTTTTTTGGCTAGCAACATGGAAAAGAGGAGTGTTAGACGGTTGAAGGAGAGAGTTCGGTCACATGTCCTCCTCCTCCTTTTTTCTTCGTTTTCGTTTTTTATTCGTCCGTTTGGTCGCCCAGAGTCGTTAGTAGTGTATGTGTGTGTTAGGAAAAAAGAAGGATGGATGGAGTGGGAGGGGCCGACGCCCGGCGCCAGACTTTTCTTTCTCTCGTTTTTGCTGTTTCAAAATGCGGAATGTGTGTTTCTTATGTGTTGCTTTTTATGTCTGTGTACTACGCGTCGCACTTTTGGTTTCCGTCTTGTTGTTGTGGTGCTCAATTAAATTCGGTGTCTACTGTACTTTGAATTTTGGACCCTGCAAGAATCTCTGCCATACTGGTGGCAGATTGAAATTCTAAAATTTGAATCTTACTATTTTATTCTCTCAAATTGTGCTTTTTATAAATTGTTCTCAATGTGCTTCTAGACCTGTACCCGAAGTTTGTTGAGTTTGAGATGGTACAAGCCGCCCTAAGCGTACACTTTGATCTCATATATCTCGGTTCCTGAGAAAGATATCAAAAAATGGTGCACTGACAAAATGTTTATCTTAATGTCAGAAACATTTTATTAGTTGACAAATTTTTACTATCTGTCACATGAAGAAAGATAAATTGTCTCAAAGTTGACGGTTCCAAGCTCCTCTAGATTCCAAAACTACCGTAGCCCATTCCTTCTCTTTTTCTCTATCTCTTAATCTTTTTTCGGCTAGACCACCCATATTAATTCAAAGTCTCCCTATTTTTTCTGCAATTTCGTATTTTTCTTCTCGATCTCCCATCTTCTGGAGATTAAGACTTATTCATCCTCGTCGTTTTTTAATCCTCGCTATTATCAAAATCGTTGTCTGTTTATTATTTGAGTTTGATGTTACATCCTACTGTTTTTTTTTGAAATTGGCTTCCTTGGCTTCTGTTTTCTATATCCAAACCATTCTTTTGTATATGTGCAAAATTATCTTGTAAAAGTTTTTTTTCTGGATATGTTAGTTTCCTTAATATACCGTAAAACCTATAATCAAGTTTGAGCTCAATTATCTCGGCTTCTCTAAGAGATATAAAATAGTGGCAGTTGACAAAACACTTCTGATATTACGATAAACAATTTATTAGTTGACAACTTTCTCATATCTCTAACAGGAACCGAGATAAATTGGCTCACAGGATTTGCGGTACTTAATTGTCCAACACATTGGCGAATCAAAAGATCGTTCCCACTATCTCCCTTGTTCATTGTCTCTTTTTTCTCTATTCCTCTCTTCTCCTAGACTGCGACGGAACCGCAAAAATGTTGCGAGACGTAGCCCAGTGCGCGTCCGTTTCTCCCGAGAGAAGGAGCGGTCTAGACAAGACCAGACTACATACATTTCAATTGACACGCGAACACAGACAATAGTAATATAATCAATGTTAGATATCAGATCTCGCAATGAGCAAGAAACTCTTCTAGGTCAGAAGTGCGAATTTGTGTTTTGTGATGGCTAATCTCACGAGATCATTGGCATATATCCGAAAATGCACGCGTATGTATGTTTTTTCAGACACTGATTTCCTGATTTCATGATGTTACAAATTCTCTTTCTTTGTACTTTTGTCTATTTTGGAAAAAATGTGATGTTGATAATGATTAGTCAAAGCAAAGAAGCTAATTTTGAGTTCTTTTGATTGAAAAAAAGGATGACTTTAAGTTCTGAATACTGAAATTAGTCCTATTTTAACTTTCGAATTTGGCTGCTCATGAACCTAACGAAGCTTATTTCTCAAAACTTTTTCGTTTTGTCTGTTTTTTGGATTCTCAGAAACAGAATTATTTGTAAAAAGTTTTTAGTTCTACCGTAATCCATACTATCCAGGAGCTTCTAGAATGAATAAGGCGTATTTAATTCTTGGCTCAAATTGTCCACCTTACCATAATCCTCAATATCACTGAAATATCACACTGCTTAAGTTCAAGCACAAGCTCCTGAAATCTATAATTTTGAATGTTTCCCAAAACGATTTTCATAAATCTTCCCTCTACTTATGGGGGGATAATTATAGGGCTATATTTATAGAGAGGCTCTCCATACTAACAAAAAGGGGCGGGGCAAAAGTTTGTCAACCTTTACCCGAGAGGAGGACTCTAAAACCCCTCATTTTGCCAATTCACTTCGTCTCAGCAATGTACTTTGGTGACTCATAGAAACGCTGTGACTACTGTATTCCTGAAAATTTTGAAGTCTGGTCTGACTTTTTATCTGAATTCTGGTCTAGAAAAACAGCTGATTTTTAAGTGTTTGGTGAGTCATTAAGAACTACCGTATACGGTAATTAGTTTTCTGATTTTCCATTGATAGGACCCCAAACTTTGAGCAAATGTATCTTGGTCCCTGTGAACGATATAGAAAAGTTGTCAACTAATAAATTGTTTATCATAATATAAGAAGGAGCGATTTTCAAAATTTTCAATTTTCATCCCAAATCACTTCGATTTCCAAAATTTCTGGGAATTTGGAAATTTTACGTGATTCACAGAAATTGAACGTTGCAATTTCTGGGATTTTTCACAGAACTCGAACGGTTCGAGTTCTGGGATTTTGGAAATTCACGTTATTTTACTGAAACTTCACAGAAATTTTGGAAATCGAAGTGATTTGGGATGAAAATTGAAAATTTTGAAAATCGCTCCTTCTTATATCACAATCATTCTACCTGTTGACACTTTCTTGATATCTTTTCCAGAAATCGAGATAATTGTGCTCAACGTGTGTAGTTATAAGGTGGCGCCCACCCTTGGAGGTGCCGCGCCGCCACCAGCTGAGCTGCCTCAAACCCCTAACTTTGAACCCTTCTATCTCATTTTCTGTGGAAGATATCAAAAATTTATCAACTGACAAAATTTTGCTGATATTATGATACATAATTTATCAGTGAACACTTTTTTGATATCTTTTACAAGAGTCGAGAATTGAGCTCAAACTTGACAGTACGGTAAATGGCTTTGACGTCTTTCTACGGTTTCACTGTTGTCTGGATGGAGGTTTCAAAACTTAAAATTCTGATTTTACAATCATAACATTTTATATTTTACCTAGACCTATATTTTGCTCTATTTTGCCTCCCTTGTGATATTGGCTCCAACCGCCAAACAACCTGATATCATTGACATTTTACCAATATTTTCGTCCTGCGACACAAAACTTCCAAAAATCCAATCCCCGTAGACCTTTGTGTCTCCGGAAGTATGTAGTTCAAAACCAAACAAAACCACCCATATAATCAGTTTAATTTTGCTCCCTCCTCCACCTGCGCAATAGACGACACAATACACAGATCATCATTCTACGCACAAAAACAAATAGATCACATTTTGAACATCCTTTCAGCTAGGAGATTATAAAGATTACAAACTTTCTGTAACATATTATCTGAAAATGATTTATCCTCGTCTAGTAGCTGTTGCATAATATTAATAATCCCGATGGCATTTACACCCCCTACGGGAGCAGCCTTTCTCTCTTATCCCCCCATTCATTCAACTCATTTTCGTGCTCTTATGCCACCCATTCTACTACATTGTCAACATTCTTTTTTCCCTCTCTCTTCAAAATGCTTGCGTATATGTCTCGTCTCTATTTGTGCCCTTCCCCACGGTCAAGAGTTCAATCTCCTCCCACTGAAATTCCCGCTTCTGTTGAATACAGGGACCTTAGTGGGCGGAGCCTAGAGCTTTTTCAGAGGGAACTTGAAAAAAGGCGTGCTCTTTTTTTCTTCTTCTTGCTATCGCGCTTCTGGAGCCTTTAGACTCATTATTAACACCTTCTTCTTCTTTTTCTTTTTTTCCCTTTTGCTCTTTTTTCTTCTTTTTGGTCATCAGATTTGTGATATTTTGCAGTATGTGTGTCCAAACATGTGATGGCTGCTAAATGCCACGTCATTTGTTATTCAGAATTTTGAATATTTTGCCAGCCAGGCCAGACGGCTGAAATCTGCCTCCTCTCTGAAATCTCTCCCTTATACAGACACATTGTTTTTCAACACATCATCATTTTGCTACCCAATTCCTCTCTCACATCAAAAAATCAAAGTTCTAGCTCCCAGTTCATTTTTGTAATTTTTCCAGATCATATATGTCCGACAGTTTACGCGGCTCCTCACCACTACCGGGTTCTGAGGAGTACGCTCACAGCACTCCCGATTCGCTCGACGAAGACAACGAGGATATGAGGAGACTGTTGGAGAATCACAATGAAGCCAACAACGACACCATCATCGAGGAAACGACGGACCAATTGATTGCAAACGATGGGCAACCATCCACATCGGATGCACTGGCGCCTGGAACATCCAGGGAGACGACCCAGAAACCACCGGTAGAAACATTACCAGAAGATAAGCTATGGCAGATGTACATGTTTATCAAACCGGCCGCCGAAGACAATCCGGGACGCTTTATATGGATATGGTATATTGGGTAAGTCGAGCACCTTAGACACTCTTTGCTACTTTTTATTCCGCTTACTTGCCTGCCTTGTCTAGTCGTCACACACCGGGGACCCATACAATCATTATGCATTCTTGTGTCGCTCGACGAGGCACGAGGGGTCACATGGGGCGCGGCGAGACTCGAAAAGAGCTTGCAACATTTTTTCCTTGAAGCTCAAAAGAGCATATCCCCCTTCGCCGAGACTTCCACTTCACCTGGGTAAGCACAAAGGTCAAAGTGCGCGGTCGTAGATCTTCTGAAACATCGGGAAACAATAAAAAATCGTAGGGGTGTCTAGGATCAACATGAGGGTGGGGTCTAGATCTAGATCATTTTGCAGGGTGGGATTAAACATCGGAGTTCTTGATGTTCTTCTTTTTTTTGTTATTTGATTGCTTTTGATAATCCGTCTGAAAATCCTGCGAGTCATACTAATCCCCAAAACAGACGTCAGAGCTGTTGCTCAGTGTAGCCATGTTTTTGGAGCCTTGAATCAAATTTTGGAATTTTGAGAACTCAAAAAAAAATAAATTGATAATTCTTAACAATAACCTCACTTCACCTAATTTCAGTCTTTAACCTCCTAAAAAACCCAAAAACATGAAACACTTGGGAATATATGAAAAATAATAGCCTCCACAAAAACAAGGAGAACAGGCGATTTCTGATCAAAAAGAACACCCAAAAACAAGGGAAAAGAAGGGACACATCGGACCGGAAACGTCTGGCAAGGCGAACATTGGAACAAAATGAATCAACAAAAAATTTTAATAGTACTTTGAGTGTTTTTTCTAGGCAAATGGAGAATTGAACATCATTAAAGTGACAATTCCAGCAAACCGATTACACTAGTTTTTAACTTTTCAGGCCATTTTTGGGCTCTGCCTAAATATTTTCAAGGATTGACCCTAGAAGGCACATGCGGCCTCACATATGATGAAAATGGGTATATCTTTAGACATAAGTATCTCGGAAACCTGAAAGTTTGTAGAAACATAATTTTACGTTTGATTCAAAGCTATTGAAATTTTCAAAGCGATTCCTCAAATCTAGGTATTGTTATGATTGTTTAAAAAATAATGTTTTTTGCATTGTGATTTTCATGTGACGAAGCAACTTTGACAAGTGATAACTAAGCTCAAAGTTGATCAACAAATTTAAAATTTGGCCAGTTTATTGATGAATAAATTGAATTTTCGCACACCAAATTTGAGCCCAGTACATCGCTTTACTCAAACTTTATGCTAGTTCAAACCTTAGTAGGGGTAATTTTGGCACCCTGTACGAACCCCCGCCCCTGGTACGACAGGCGGCACAGATTGAACCTGACTAATTGACTAATTTATTTTCAAAATGTAATTTTTTCAGGAGGAAAATACCGGCACTAATAATAAACGGGGAGGCCTATATGCCAGTGGAACTTCTGCAGCAAATACTCAACGAGTCGATAGACAAAAAGAGCGAGAGCTTACAAGCATTCATGGGTAAGCATCTACAGTAACCATTCAACCAAGTCTCGAGTTTTTTCTTCAGCCGCATTCAATATCCCCACAAGGTACGCAACACGGACACAGTACACCGTCATACTTCGGAAGTGTGTAGAATGCAGAAAGTTGGGGTCGACGAGCCTTCGGCTGATCAGTCGGTCCAACATGGAGCGGATAACGGGTGCCATCAGGATGGAAAGTGTCCGAACGGCGTGTGAGCATGATGACTGGTATGTGATCTTCCTAGATTTTTGAGAATCTGAGATTTTGTTAAAAAGTTCCGCATGAAGCAGCACATGCGTATACAAACAGAGCTAGCACATAAGCAAACCTTTCCTTCTTGCTCTCTCTCTTTCTACATATTTCTCATTTTCGCACATTTCCTGTCCTTCTTTTTCTTTTTTTTTCTATCCCTTGCTCCTCTAATTAGACGAAAAACTCTCGGAGCCGCCGAGACGAGACATGGTCAGCGCCACAAACTTTTGCCTACGCACACCCTTTTCTCCCGAATAGGGTGCTCCGAAGGAGAAGAAGAAGGCGCAAACATTCACGGTCAAAGCTCATCATAGGCGTTGATGAGAAGAGGATGAGAGAGAAATGGCGCGTATAAACATCATCAGAATACATGAAAAGTCTGAGAAAAATTTCTATGAGAGAGGGGTCAAAAAACCAAAGTAACAGATTTTTCAAAGCTCAAAAATTATAACAGATGAACAAAATAATTAGAAAAAAAAACTAGAAACAGAGTTATGCTCTGAAATTAGCTTAGAGATACCGAAACTTTGAAAATTTTTTCAGGCCCGGACCTTGGCGGTCCAGGCTTTCATTTCACAAATAGTCATAAAACAACTTTCCAGGGATGATACACAACGGGTACACGTCGTCCATGTCAACTTCATCGATTTGTATGATGACTGGCTGGAGAACGACGACTTGGAAGAGGATCTCACTGATGTAAAAAAATGGATTACTGTAGTTTCAAATATCATTATCTTTTACAGTGTGGCGTCCACGGGTACTGGTACAAAAATCGTCGTGCCATGAGAAGTATCAAATGCAGGGAATGCATGAAAATGTTCACTCCAGCCGATTTCATCCTCCACCATCACTATCCCCGGCGGAATGAAACATTGGAGCATGTTGGACTTAATTCTGCGAAATGGACGGAACTTATCACGGTCCATTCGGAAGACAGAAACGAGGTGAATCTAACATCCTGGAAAAAGTACTGTACGGCTTCTACCCGCTTCGGAAAAAGAACTTATGAAGAGGCAGAGCCTGTCAGGGGTGCCAAGAGACCGGCAATAGAACCATTGATTATTGTGGATGATGATGATGAGATGATGGAAGAAGAGCTAGAAGAAGGAGAAGAGATTCCGGAGAACAAAGAATTGTCCTCGGAGGAATACGAAGCTTTGATCAATTCCGGAAAGAAGTTGACACTCGAGGACTACCTTGGACCAAAAGGCGTGGATGGAATCGTACCGAAGACTAGAGTGCAGCAAGTCATGAAGGACACTTTGAAGATTATGGATCAAAAGTCGTTAGAAATGCTCTTCCTGAGTCACCCAGATGACTTGATAGTGTGGATTAAAGAACACGAGTTTGCTAAGAAATGCGAACTACAAAAGAAGCATTGGGATAAAGTTCGTGAAGAAAATCCCGACGATTTCGATCAATGGACTGGTGCTCATTTCGATCCTGAAACCGGAATGTTTGAAAACCTCCGACTACTGGACGAAGCTGAAAAGACGACTAGACTTGAACTGAGGGAGGTTGAAGAGAAGATGAGACAGTTACAAGAAGAGATGAAGAAGACTAAGATGACATTGTGGGAATATATGTTGAAAGAACAGAAAGTTCTCAATGAAGCACCAGAAGACGTGCTCAAATTGCTCAGCAACATTCCACCTCCACCACCAAAAGTCCTCCCTACACCGACTCCATCGATGCCTGCAACTCCAGTCCTTCCAATACTCTTCCCTCCACTCAACTTTATTAAATTGGCTCAACAGCTTCAACAACTACAAGCGGCTGGAATCAAGCTCCCTCTTCCTGTTCCAACTCTTAAACTCCCGCCTCTTCCAACGCCATCCCTTCCACTCAAAAAACTTCCACCAATGCCACCAATGTCTCTGCCACAGATCGCAATGCCTCCAATGCCATTTTCAAAGGTCATTTCTCCTACTGAATCTCTCGCTGGAACGTCTTCAACACCACCAACTCCAGTGGAGAAACCTTCGAAGCTCGCTATTCCAACTTTGCCACTATCACCACAAGCTGAATTTCTCGTAAGTATTCCTCTGGTATAATTTCGATGCGTATTACGGCCAAAAATTCAAGGGTGGGCGGGGCTGAGGTCCAGTAGCGAAGTCCTTAGCATTTATTTTCCGTAACTAAGGAGCATTTATTTTTCGTAACTATTTTCGGGTTTTTTTTCGATTGTTCGGTGAACTTCATTTGATTTTTTTAACGAAGAATCGGAATAATCGAAGAAATAGGTCAGAAAATAATTACGAAACGTATCGTAAACACTCTAATAAAGTGCCACCCAAACCATCACCATTGAGTTCATATATCTCATTTCCTGAGACGAATATCAAAAAGTTGTCAACTGATAAAATATTTCTGATAATATGATAAACATTTTACCTGTTGACAACTTTTTGATATCTATCACAGGAAGGGAGATAAATTGGGTCATAATTGACGGTTTGGGTGGCACACTGTTAGAGTATTTACGGTACATGCTCCTTTAAGGATTTCACTACCGGACCTAAGCTCCGCGCACCCTCGGATTTTCGATCGCGCTCTGAAGTTCGACACTAACAAATCAGCTTTACCGAAAATCAAGAAACCCATTTCAGAGACAACAACTCACACTGGCTCTTCAGAATCCAACATTTTTCCCATTTTTGGCTCCGAAACTTCCGCCTCAATTTGAAAACCTCCTGTCTTCATTTCTACCACCTACGAAACCCACCGCGGTCAAAAACTGATGGCCTTCTATTAACACCTCTCCCTATTTTTTGTTTGTTTTTCTCTTTCTAACCCCGTTTTTTTCTCATTTCTTATCATTCCATTTTCTCTCGAACCATGTACAAAGTTTCTTTTTTTCCGGGATACCCCCTAAACAGTTCAGAATGTCTAGACCCCGGTTATTGTACATAATTTGGCACATATACATATATAATTACAAAATGACGCTAGTCGTATTCCCCCACACTTGCTACGGATATCATCATCAGTTCATTTTCTTTCTGTCTGTTTTCTTTCTGCTGCTCTATTACCTCTTTTCCCTCTCCCCCATCTCTTCCAGGCTTGCCATATTTTCCATTAGGTACCTCTTCTTTTTTTTTCCTTATCATACGCTATCTTTTTTTTTTCTTTCCTGTTTTCCTGTTCATTGTTACTACACGTTTCCTTCTTTTTCTTCTCTTTATCACCTTATCTATACGCCGAGCTGTCACTTTCCCTATCCCTGTCCATACACACCTTCTTTATACATGTATCTCTTTCCCAAGAACCACACCAAAACTTGTATCTGCTCATATTCTCGGTTACTATCCCTATCCCTTGCTCCTTCAATCACCTCCTTTTCAGTTGCTCTTTCTCTCTAGTTTTATTTATCTCTGCTTGCTCCCAAATTACCATTATCCCCCCCCCCCCCCGGTTAGCCATGTTTAATCTCAAAATCAAATTCGTCTCTAATTATTCTATTCATCCATTCAGGACAGTCCTTTTTTTCCATCCCAAAGCTGAACAGTTATCGGTACAAACAACATCTATCGTTTTTGTGTGCAAAATGAATTGACAAAACAGGAATGAATGCTATTTATATTTTTACTTTTTGGCATTTTTTGGCTCTGAATTACACAAACTACATAATAAACTGAATGGCGCAATGAATCCACAGAAAGCACAAGAACACATTTTCAACTAGTTTTCAAACGAAGATTCGAAAATTAGTTCAAACGATATTTCTAATTTTTTTATTTTAAAAATTTTCACATTTCGATGTCACCTAACATTCTCAACTTGAGTTTTCTAGGCCACCAACTTGTATAGTTTAGAAATACCAAGTATCCACCTGGCGGGTTTCCTAGGCCATTTTAACATGATGACCTAACTTTTTCAAGTTTAGTTTTCTAGGCCACCGTGTTAAATGTTCTTGAAAACGCACGAGGTGAATATCAGGTTATTACTAAGCCGTTTACCATGGCGGCCTAACTATTTCAAGTTGAGTTTCCTAGGCCATCAACTTTCATGGCCTAGAAATGACCTAATATTTACCTGGTGGGTTAGGTCATTTTTACATGATGACTTAACTTTCGTTATCTCGGCCACCATGTTAAATATCCTAGAAAACGCACCAGGTGAACATCAGGCCATTACTAGGCCGTAGTGGCCTATAAGTCTCAAGTTGCAAAAGTTAGCCACCGTGATAAAATGACCTAGAACGCAATGAGCCGAGTTTAGTCGGTTGAACGTTCGAGCGAAATTTCGAAAAATCGTTTTAACAAATTGGCAAAATTTCGTTCCCAAAATTTTTGAAAATTGCCGTTTTCGAAAAATTTATTTCGAAAAACACACACTACACATTCTATATCTAGAATATATTCAAAGTATTTCAGATCCGAAAAATTCCAATATCAAAAACTTCATTCTTTACACTAATTATAACATTACAATACAAAAAAGTTTGCCTAGTGCTCGTGCTCTTCTCGACTATCAGTTTTGGATGCAGTAGTAGTCGTGGTGGTCGTGGTAGTAGTTGTGGTAGTAGTAGTCGGGATCTTCCTAGCATCTCGAATCGATTCGATTGGATTCGATCGCTAAAAGTTTAAATAGGTATTATTAAATTAAATAAAAACTCTTACCAAATAAGACCATTCCTTCGATTTCTGATTATCAAATCTGATCTTGACCAACGCTTCCGCTGACTTTGGTGTCTTTTCCTGCTTCCGTTTCTTCTTCATTTCGTCACTCGCACATAAGAATATAAGCGATCGAAGTGTGTTGGAAAATACGAGTCGAGGATCGAAATGCACCTGATCTCGTTTTTTCATCTCCACCAATGGCTGCAGCTCGTCGAGTTCCACTTTTGTGTTTGGAATAGTGAAGGGGCGGATCTTGTTCGCATGGAAGTGCTCAATGTGATCGGTGCCCACTGTTATAGATTCTTCGACGTCTTTCTGAAACAAAATTTGAAATCAAAGATCCATATGGGTCTGATTCGTTACCATTTCCTCCTCGGTCGGTTCCAAATGCTCGGCCCAAAACGGACATCCTTTATCAGTGAACACGTTCTCGCCAGGCATCTTCCGAACGCTGATCAACCGTGGAACTTGACTATACGAATCATCATCCAAAAACTGTGATTCTTCCATTTTCTTCTTCTGAGTAGACGATGTTTTCCGATAGAACGACGACGGTTCATCAGCAAACATTTCGCTTTTCTCCGGTTTGAATGGTTTCTTGTTCACTCGATCCATCAGAATTCGAGATCGCTCGTCGAGTGGAAGCGTGCTCGGTGCCTGACTTTTTTCTCGTTTCTCTTTGGTGAACCTCTCGAAAACGCGTTCGAAGGTGACTTGATCCACTTCTCGAGTCCGAATTTCCAATTTTCGAGGCTTCGGAAGTTGCTGGCAGTTGGATGGAAGGGCTGAAAACAAATACAGTGCGTTCAATATCTTTAGGACCCCCCCTCTATTTTCACGGTTCTGAAAAAACGGTAAGAGATATCAAAAATCTGTAAACGCCATTCGTTTTTAAATCCAAAAATACCCCGGAAGCCAAAATTTGGTACTCATACCTCTTCTGGTACTAGTACACGGCATACTTGTAAAATTCCGGGCAAAAAAAAAACTCGAAAAAATTTTTGGGTCCCCCCTTATGTGATTTTTTTCGTTTTTTGAAAATTTCAAAACTTGTGGAATGACAGGCCCGCCGGGCCGGGCCGGGCGGGGATCCTCTAGA